GGTTTGGGTATTAGTTTTAACATTTTTTTCCTTAGAATAATAGTAATGATAAAAAAAACAACAATCCAAATTAATCAACTTCAAATGATGACGTTGCTGTAAAAAGACTTAGATTTAAACTTTTTATTTTTACCTATTTGAGCTTTTTTAGTAATTTTATTTAGAGCAGCAAAAAGAGCCTCTCCCAGTCCTTTGACATTTGCCAGGTCATCTTTCATGGAGTAAGAGAGGTCCATCAGGTAGTAGAGATCCACTGGATAACCCTCAGCTCTCTTAAAGGAAACAGTAAAAGTGGTGGAACGTCCTGTAAACACAGAGTGGACTAGATCAGTTTTTACAAAGATAACCTGCAGTATGATCAGATTAAACCAATGAATACAGAGATTTTAGGTTGCCAACAAACCAAAACGCATGACATGATAACAAAACTAGATACCACACAGTGGTAAGATATATGACCCAAAGCACCAATGYACCAGAACTCAAAAGTGACCAGAACGGATTTATTGTTTTGAATAGGGGTCTGGAGGCGGCGCTCGTTGGTGGGAACAATGGATAGCCCTTCATCAATATGACCCCCACATGCAAAGCGGGGCTCATATTGTTTCTGTACTGTTTCTTTTCTCTTTTTTTCAGTGATTCAGTGATTTTTGGTCAACCGTAGCACAAAAACAGCTGCATCGATCAACATGAAATTTGGCAGGACTGTAGATGAGTCCAACCTACACTGCACCAGCCAGTTTTATGATAGACCCTGTGTTTGAGAATGGGGGCTCCATCCAAGAGGGGGTGTCTGGACATGCCAAAATACTTATAACCCAAAAAAATTAAACAGAAGCTTCAGATTTTTTTTGTTGTTAAGCTCTGATGAAGGGCTATCCATCAGTAGTGCAAAAAGTGGGTATGCACTGTATGCAACAAATAGGGTCACTGCACTAGAAGGGGTGCCAAAACGAAGAGAGGAATTTTTTTAGTAGGATTTTCTGATTTAACAGCTGTTTGTGCATGTATGAAATGATCAACAACAGAGGAAYGGCACTGATTAGGCGCACCTCTGCTCCTTCACCTCCCCCCGTCTGTCTCCCCTCCCACTCAGGGCACTTGGGCATCTTCAACAACGCGCTCAGGTGCATTCTTTTTTCTTTTTTTTTCTTTTTAATTTTAACTATTGTAGTGCACTTCACAACAATGATCTAAAGATGGAGCAGTAGAAAAAAGGTTCTCAGGGGCACAAAATAGAAACCTGAAGAGGGAGAGGGATACATATGTTGGAGGGATGAAGAAAAGCTTTTCAGTGGTTGAAAGACAGCAAGTTATGTCAACAGGAGGGTTGTAAATATTCATRTTAGCTTAAGCTAGCCTAAAAKGACAGGTGGCTGTTTCTGTAGGCCTTTTTACAATATAACAGATAATAGCATAAAAAAAATAAAGACCTAAAGATAAAAGCAAAATAAAGACCTAATAAGTTGTGTATGGTGAATCATAAAGCTGATAAATTATAGAACATGGGTCACCAACACAGTTTCTTTTAATATTACATAACTGATATTTTGCATCTACAAGAGTTAGACAAAACAGTGGTTAGTACAAAAGGCATGAGTTTAAATCTTTCTAAAAATTTTTGAAAAAATACAGAAGTTATTATTTAATAACTAGCACATATTTAAATTTAACACATGTGGTGTGAGTGTGTGTGTGTGTGTGTGTGT